CAAAAACAGACATAACTAAATAATTAATATTTTTAGTGAATTGATTCGTGTTATTTGTTTATATGAAAATTTAGTGTTAAATAATATCATACAGTAATATACATTTAAACTCATAAAAAAAAACACGTAAATAAAAGTAAAAATAAAATTGTGCCATTTTGACAAACAAAGTTGTTTTCATCTGATATAAATGGAATGTAAAGTTTTTATACATATAATCTTTTCTCTTTATTGAGATGTTATTATGATGTTTAACCAAATGCTAGTAGAACGGCAAAACGGTGATCTTGTTAGGAAAGATGTACTATTTGTTTTCTTCCTCTGTTCCATTATCACATGTTAAATATCATCATATGTATTCAAAGAAAGAGAATTGAGTACATAAAGTAAAACTTCTCTTAAATGAACACAGTTAGGACTTTTAAAAAGTATTCATCTATAACAAATATCATATAGTTTTTTACTACACAATAAAAAAAGTTTTAGTATATTTTTTCTTTGCTAATTTTGAAGTAATCAGAGGCTATTCTCTCTATTATTCATCTTATTCGATTTGAATATTTATGAATACAAAAAATATTTCAACATAATACAAAACTGAACGTTTTTTTTCATAAATTCTTTGTATTTTAGTTGCAGTCTCAATATATAAATGAATTTCGTGAAATGTCAAAGCTTTTGAATTTATATTTAGTTGTTTAATTTTATTCGTTTGACAATCATTTACATATTATTTTCTTGGTTTTAAAATATTGGATATAGAATGAATTGAAATATTCGAGTTTTGAGTTAATTCATGCTATGATGAACCGTTGCTATCATTGTAAATCGTTAATTCATTAATTGAATTTTTTCATTTATTGTAAGACAATATATTGATGTCATTGCTTTTCCTCATATATACCACTTATGTTCATTTCAAAGAGTTTCAAATAGCAATCTGGATTGTAAAAAGAATGTTCATGCTCAGATTAGGATAGAAGAAGAGAAAGCATATTGCACGGTAGATGTTAGAAAAATCTTTTGAATTAGCGTACAGGATATGAAAAAAAAACTTATCCATTATATCTGTATCTCGTAGGTCTAAGGTCCTTTTCAAGATGGAAGACCTTCATCAAATCAGCTGTGTTCATTATTATAGGTTTCATTGTAATTGAACAGGAAAGGGTGTGGGCTTTTCCTCTCATTACACCTACACACACACCACTTCACAGTCACAGCCGCACCCCCTACAAGTAATAGCTCATTAAATTGAAATAGTGAAGCTCAATATTTAGTAAACTCTAGAGATTTCAGGAAATTTAAATATATAATTGAAAGTAGAAGTTGTAGTAAAATTGTTATCAGTCACTATTTTGATATTTCAAAACAAAAATTTGAGACCTAAGATTGTTTTCAATTTGAATACACTAGATTAAAAAAACAACTGACATTGAATTTAACGGAATTCGAATTTCAATTTTATGTTCGCAAATGAGAAAACACGGGCGTCGGCTGATACGAAAAAAAACAAATTGCGTCGAGAAATACGAGTCGTAAATCTAAAACGTTTTCTTTCAAGTCTACGATTATGATTGTCGCCAAAATCGATTCCTTGAACTGTTTTACGCTATCAAAAAACGGCTTGCTAATCCGATTAATAATAGCATCATTGAAGAGATCTACAACATTCATGTGAGTGAAACCATTTTATATTTTACATTTCATTATACTTCAATCGATTAATACTGAGCTTTTTGAAATTAATTTCGACCGATGACAATCAACTGACATCAATAACAATCAACGTTCTTTGTTAACATAGAGGACCTCTCATAATTATTCACTCATGCTTATTTTCAA